CAAAACACGGACCAGAGTCTGACATAACTCCCCCCTCCCGGAAGGCGCGTCCCTCGCCATACAACATCCAATGGGGAGGTGGGGTGGGCGCTCTGGAGGCCTCTAGGGACAGGGTTACTAGACGGAAGGCCTCCAGGGTGGTGCCCATTCCAGGACCCATGGCGGATCTGGCAACTCAGGAGGCCATGGTGGATCAGGGGACTCAGGAGGCCATGGTGGATCAGGAGACTCAGGAGGCCATGGCGGATCAGGAGGCCATGACGGATCCTCCGTGGCCTTAGCTGTCTCGGCCACCCCCCAAAATTTTCTTGGGGAAAACTAGGAATCCTGGGGGGCGCTCTGGTGGAGCGGGCACTTGAGGGCACTCTGGAGGAGATTCAGAGACTGGAGCCCTCCTTGGGCTAAGCACGGGGACAGGAGCCCTCCGTGGGCTATACTCGGGAACTGGAGCCCTCCGCCCTTCCTGGGCTGGACTGGGGATCAGGAGCCCTTCCTGGGCTGGACTGGGGATCAGGAGCCCTTCCTGGGCTGGACTGGGGATCAGGAGCCCTTCCTGGGCTTAACTGGGGATCAGGAGCCCTCCCTGGGCTTAACTGGGGATATGGAGCCCTTTCTGAGCGGAACTGGGGATCAGGAGCCCGTCCTGGGCTTAACTGGGGATCAGGAGCCCTTCCTGGGCTAAACGGGGGATCTGGGAAGCGCTAACGAGGTGCTGGCACTGGAGGGCACTCTGGAGGAGCAGGCACAGCAAGGCGCTTTCGAGGAGCGGGCCCTGGAGCGAACTTAGAGGCTGGAGCCGACACTGGAGCGAGCTCTGGGGCTGGAGCCGACACCGGAGCGAGCTCTGGGGCTGGAGCCGACACTGGAGCGAGCTCTGGGGCTGGAGCCGACACCGGAGCGAGCTCTGGGGCTGGAGCCGACACTGGAGCGAGCTCTGGGGCTGGAGCCGACACCGGAGCGAGCTAATGATTACAAAATTGGAACTGAACGAGGACAGGAACAGGAAAACCAAATATGGGCAACAGGAACATACACGTGACAACCTTGTCATAGTGTTTTATAATTTATAAAGATAACAGCTATATATGCCAATAAAATAAATAATATCCATATTAGAATAATATATTACCTTATTTATTACATATATTAGCGCTTCATCATTAACATATCATATATATATATAAATATAATAGGCTATATTACATATTGTAATATTATATAATGTTGTGCACTATTTGTCATGCCCACTGAAGGCTCGTCAGTAGATCAAATGATCTGAAGTGAACTAACCCTGGAACAGAAGCTGCTCCAGAGCAGGTTATCCTCAGAGAGCAAGTTGCTATGGTTACTTACATGCCCTGAAAGTGACCTCTGATTTTGGAACCGAAAGCTGAGGTTATCCGCTCGCTTATCCTCAAACATACCTGGGTATGTCACATAACCTGCTTTTTGGAATACCCCCCAGAAGACCCATAGACAGAGGTAAGTTGAGATTGTTTACTGTACACATGTGGTTCATTACATTGACTAGCTAGCACAGACTCAGTGGACAATGGACATTAACTAAACACACACACAAGCACTATATATATAAAATGTTGTCAGAATATATTGGAAATATATGTCTACAAGAAAAGTTTATTCATTTTTAATATACATGTTATTTTATTTCTCCCTTCATTTCACATCTCTTTGCCAAATTAAGGTTATCTGTTTAACACAACGCACCATAGATGTTTAAATACCCAACAATCATGCCAACAAAGCCAAACATCAGGAGGTGGCGCTAAATGAGCATCTGTTTTACGTGTTGTTAGCGAGTCATTAAACTGTTGTCTCAACTGATTTATTAAAACACACAAATTCACAAATGAAACAGTGGACGTGAACGGATCGATTCGTTTATTATAGGTCTGCGATTCATTTACGAACACTGATTCATTCCTCAAGGAAACGCAACTAAATATCTTTAAAATTAATTGTATTCTATTTTTTAAATAGGTTACTGGTTATTGGTGCTTTCGTCCACTCAGTCTGTAGAGTGCAGTCTTCACATACTGGGTGAGCAAAGCCCTAAATCACCGGGGGTCTGTGACCCGACGGCTACCCTCAACCTGGTTCAGCCGGCCTGTCGAAGCCGTTGCCCGGTGTGGCCGCTGTGACGTGACGTGACGTGACATGTGGCCAAGTATGGTGACCCATGCTTGGAATTAGTGCTCTGCATTTATCCCATCCAAAGTGCACACACACAGCAGTGAACACACACCGTGAACACACATCCGGAGCAGTGGGCAGCCATTTTTTGTTGCGGCGCCCGGGGAGCAGTTGGGGGTTCGGTGCCTTGCTCAAGGGCACCTCAGTCGTGGTATTGAAGGTGGAGAGAGCGCTGTACATTCACTCCCCCCCCCTACAATCCCTGCCGGTACGAGACTCGAACCCGCAACCTTTGGTTACAAGTCCGACTCTCTAACCATTAGGCCACAACTTCCAGTCCCACTGTGCATGCTACAGCTACTGGGAGCCACAGGTGAGGGATGGGTGACCGGTGGGGACCAAAGGTGAGCAAGCTACCTTATGAAAGAGCACGACAAGCCCCCCACCAGAGGTGCTACAAGTCAAGTCACCTTTATTTATATAGCGCTTTTAACAATACAGATTGTGTCAAAGTCCCCATATACCCCAACGGACCAAGGCTTCTGATGCAGAGAGAGTGGGACTGTCTCTGTGCACAGGCTCTTCCATTTTAATTTCCCTCACACACAGGTTTCTTTGCGCACACTCATCTTTCAATTCCGTCCTTATCTTTCCACAAGTCCTACGGTGATGGTGGAGTGGCGACGCAACAGGTGGAGGTGACCACTGGCAGCTGTAGTCACAACCCTGCACGTAGGTGGCCCATGGACAAGTGGTCGTTCGGCTCCTCACCCAGGGCAGAGGAGAAGTCCAGCAGCATTCTGGGCGACTGAGCAGCCCTTTTCAGGATAGCACTGCTCACCCTTGTTAAGGGAGGGGCCTAGAAAAGGTGGCCCAAACATTGCCTGCCCTACATATATCTGGCCAGCAAACCGCGGTTGGCAGATCATCCATCAAGCGGTCGAAACAAAAACAGAATTCAAAAAAAGAAGCTCCTACTGGGAGCATGGAACGTCAGAACACTTTTGGACAAAGAAGATACAGCAAGACATTTACATTTAGTCATTTTGCAGACGCTTTTATCCAAAGCGACTTACAATTGGGGAATACATAAAGCGATTCTTCTTAAAGAGGCAAACAGACACAGGAAGTGCTTGTAATACCAAGTTTTAGGCATTGTTCAAATAAGTACAAGCTAGAAAGGGAAGGAATAAATAAAGAGAAATAAAAAGTTTTTTTTTTTTAAGATGACGTCAAGTAGCGTTTAAAGAGATGAGTTTTCAGCTCTCGCTTGAAAATTGTCAGGGATTCAGCATTCCGGCTAGGGGTGGGAAGATCTTTCCACCAGCCAGGAACAGTGAACGAAAATGTTCTGGAAAGTGATTTTGAGCCTCTCGGTGATGGTACCACGAGACGTTGCTTACTAGCGGATCTCAGACTTCTGGAGGGGATGTAGATTCGTAGTAGTGAGTGGAAGTAGGCGGGTGCTGAGCCTGTGGCTGTTCTATATGCAAGCATCAATGTCTTGAACTTGATGCGAGCCTCAACCGGCAGCCAGTGCAAGGAGATAAAGAGAGGTATAACATGGGCTCTTTTGGGCTCGTTGAAGACCAGTCGTACCGCTGCATTCTGAATCATTTGTAGAGGTTTGATTGTGCTTCATGGAAGTCCAGCCAGAAGAGCATTGCAGTAGTCCAGCCTAGAAATGACAAGGGCCTGGACAAGAAGTTGTGCAGCATGCTCCGTTAGAAAGGACCTGATCTTTCTGATGTTGTGCAATGCAAACCTGCAAGATCGAGCAGTCTTTACAATATGGTCCTTGAAGGACAGCTGGTCACCAAAGAATAATTTTCATTCTGTGAAAAAAATAATGTAACTGTGTCTATAAAGGTGTGGACCAAATGGTCCATTCCATTAGAATAACAAAGGAACTGCATTCCTCAGGAAAGGTCTTGTAGATTGCAGGATCTCCAGCGGGAGGTCCTAATAGTATTGTTTCTAGCCCTTTTGTCTTCAGGTGTAA